AAAGATAATAGTAGAAGAGAAAAGTAATTAAGATTAGAATATAATAATGAAATTAACATTATCGTGACTGTATGGCTTTTCAAAAAATGATAAAACGGAAAAACCAAGAACACGATGGCAGAAAAAGGTATGTGAAAGCAAATATCAATAGGCGCCTGACAAACGATATGGTCAAGGAGATAATTGATATTTGCCTTATGGTAACAATCACCTTCAAAAATCAACTCATCTCAGGACTCAAAACTACTATACTCATTCATGTAGTACATAAATAACTAATGTTACACGGCCGAGAAAAGATAACTAATGTTACAACCAACAGTCAGATGCATCCAAAACTCAGTTATAAGGAAAGGGGCAAAAATCCATTCACCTCTTGATTTTCCTATCGTTTCTGGTTCTCTTTCTAAATTCTCGATTCTCTTCGGGATACTGCTTTTTAATTAACAAATTGCACATTGATCTTTTCACAGCTTCTGCAGCAGCCAAGACATCTTTTTCATCAATAGAAACACCACCCTGCAGTTTCTCAAGGAGTTTCGTTCCGCCAGGTATTTCATTATCTTCCAACACAATTGGTTCATGTCCTTCGGAAGCAAGGCTGCTTTCCTTGAAACAAGAAATAACCTTCATGCGTGAGAAAGAGGGATGGGCAGAACCAGGCAGGTTAGAGACACCGGTTACCATCCATAACAATTCTCCTGTGATACTACTGCCAAGGCTTGTTGGAATGAAAGTCTCTCCTGTGATGGAGACCACCTGCAATAATCAAACCAATCACATAGGAGATTATCTTTGCTTACGCACATTGATTAAACATATCTCCACCTAGCCTCTTGGATACTGACTTTTAGCAAGAAAGTTTCAATAATTGAAGGAATTTTAATATTTTGTGTCAACTTTTGCTGCGCCAAAGACTTGATGCAAGATGATAAGATGGAGTAATATTCAAATTGACAATGATATCAAGCAAATAAATGAAACAAAAATACAAGACATACAAGCAATCTAATGAAAAAAATTTGTCCCAACTTTCTTAAATTCATTTTAAGTTCCCAATCACACATAAATTGTCCTTTTGGTCAGTAGCAAGAGCTAAATTGTTCATATAGTCATGCCTTTACCTTGACAATAGAAAGAGCTCGAGAAGAAAGGTCACAGCTCAGCAACATTATTCCTTGCAGGCTACACATATTACAATAAGAGTTTCAAGATAATTGACAAAAATAGATTGAAAGACGAAGAATGAATAAACATAAAACACTCAGCGCAGAGACTCACTTTTGAATAGCTGCAGCAATGAGAGTACAATCTTGGATGGTGCACAGATCAGTAACAGTGGCATGGACCTCTTCATTTCCATCAGACTTTAAATGTCCTGCCTTCAATAAGCAAATGAACCACATAAAATACCAGCCTAACAGCCAACTTTGAGAAAAATGGTGTTGCGGAGTCTTCACAATACTTAAATACTATATTTTTGTCTAATAGAGGATTCAGGCAAAAAAGTACTTAACGAGCTGGAAGCATTTTTGTCATAAATTTTGTGACCAAGACATCCAACCTTACAGGTTTATGGAAATGATATCAAGAATCTCAAAACTTTTGTAAGAAGATACCTTTGCAGCAACTTCACAGGCATCAAGGAGAGATCCAGATATACTGTCCCACAAACAAATCTGAAGAAAAAAATCCATGATTGTCACAATAGTTTGATGCTTAATGTGCTTAAAGCATAAGCTGTAAAGATGCAAAGTTGTCAGCTTCTGAATACTCACTGTTGAATCACCACTGCCAGACACCAGAAAACCTTCGGGGTGATCCAGAGTGCAGATGAAGGCAAGGCAGGAAACAAACCTGTAAATAGATTAGTGAAATCAATACATATCCTGACTATAAATAGGGTATAATGAAATCGCAAGATCAAAGAAGAAAGACAAGATACATATCAACTCTTGTTACTGGAAGAGTATTTTTTACATATATATTCCCAAAAATCAACCTTCTCAATGAAGGATCAACTTATAGGGGCACACCACTGCCCTGCAATTTAGCATAAAACTTTAATTTTCTCTTTATGTTTGAAAGCAGACCCCAACAAATATACTTAGCATTGAAAGGACACCTTCAGACCTCTTCCAATTTGATATACAGGAATTTTAATATTTTGCAATTGTGCAAGAATGTTGACCAATGGAAATATGTGATCGTTAAAACTCACTTACTCTGTATGGCCAAGGCAAAAACTTTGTATTTCATGAGCTCCATCTAGAGGCTTCTTGGGGAAAATAGTAACCTATCATGTAGAAAAATGCCATGAAAAATAAGTCTCTAAATAAGCCAGATTTTTTTGTTATTCAATTAGAGCAAAGCAAGAAGTCTTACACGAATTTTAAAATCACGATCTGCACTAATAATAAATTGTCCATTGGGTGAAAACTCCTGTACATAAAATGTCATCAGAATTGCCAACTAATAAGCTAAATTCATGCAGATTGAAGTAAATGCTACTGATGCTCGTAAGTTCAAGACTGCTCCTTGATAGTTACAACACCAATGTAAAAGAAAAATAGGAAAAATAAAGAACAACAATTTCAACCCAAAAGTATTAAAGAAAAGAACACCTTCAAGATGTTGGGGAAAAAATATAAAGATTATATATAATATAATGTTCCTGAAAAGTAATATGCAAACTGAGCAGGAAAAAGAAGAAAACACTAACTGAATTCTTCTTTTTGCCAAAGGTAAGAGATGTAGAGGCTTATAACAGCAGATTACTCACAAGGCTAGTGATGATACTACAATAATGAGCGAGCATTGCTACTGCCTTCTTATTGACTGGAGCTTCATTGTTCTCAAGCCCAAGCAAATCCACAACCCAAACAACTCCAAATTTATCAGCAAAACAAACATGAAGACCGTCATTGCTTATAGCAACTGCACTCACTCTCTTCTCAGAGCACCTGTTGGAAATAAAAAAGGCAGAGTATGAGTCCACGTTGGAAATAGCATGCTATAAAAGGTGACAAATAGCAGACACCAGCCAGTGCGGCACAAATCTAACTCGGGGAAAATTCAAAAAGCATGTTTTCTGCAGATAATGTAAGCACATTAGGAGAGAAATAATATTGCTGAAAAACCAAAGAATTTATAAAAAGAATACCCTGTATTAATCTTGCATAATTTTACAGTGAAGAGCTTTCCAACCAACTCAAACGAAAAAGGAAAAAATAATCTTGTGCATTACATTATCATATAAACTTATTGAGAAATGCCAACCGAATATGCAAAATTTTGATTAAAAAAAAAAAAAAAAGAACTGAAAAGTAAAATCCATAAGCTAAAACTTACACTGTAGCAATGCAGTGCCAAGACTCCGTAGACCAACTCTTGACAAGTTTGTCATCTCCAGCAGATACAAAAAGCTTTCCTTTTGCTCCATAGCGCATAGCCCTTATTGAATCTTTATGAAAAGGTTCACTAGATTCATCTACCAAAGTAACCCCACAATCCCCTCTGTAAAGGGCACATAAAATCAAGTTAAAATAAACAGCAGAAGGAAGTTCTTTCAATACAATTCACAGTCTGAACATTTTCTTTAATCAGGAACGTAAAAAGGTTCAACCTTTACTATTCTACACTGCCTCATGCTTGCACATACAAAATAAAGGACTACGAGTTAAAGACTACAAGCACTGTAGATTAGAGTATAGCACTGTAGATAGGAATCAGTATTGAGTAAGAAAGCAAGAAAGGAGAGGTTACATGAGATCGAAGACTCGAAGGTCTGAACCAACGGCGACTGCAACGGAATTCTGAGTTGGGTGAACGGAGATGAGGGCCGGAGCAACTTCACCGCCTTTGTTGTGCTGTTCTCCATCTTCAGCATGAACATGAGAAACCTCGTCATCCTTGTTGTGCTGTTCTCCATCTTCAGCGTAAGCATCCTCCATTGTTACTTCTTCGTCAGCAGGAGGGAAATTGTTCGGTTTTGTTCTTTAGGGTTTTGTGGTTTTAACTTTTTACTAGATTTTGGGCTTTAAGCCCTCTTTGCTTGGATTTAACTCCACTAACTCAGGCCCAATACTGTTTCTGATTAATTTACGAAATTAAAGAAAATCAGATCAGAAGAACATTCTAACAAAATGTATTATGGCGTTGGGTAAGGATAAAAAAAACGTGTTAATGAATTAAAATAGTGTTAATGAATTAGCATATAAAAAAATTTATTAAAAAATATTTAAATAATTTCACACCTTACAAAAGTTTTTGACATTTTAAATACAAATCGTTTTCTCTTAATTTATAATTTCAAAAATAGTTAAAAAAAAAAAAAACTAACCGTCAAAGATGCTTACTAGCGTTTGGCAGTGCCATGTTACGTTGTAGT